TGAAATACAAACTCTGCTTTGGGGCACTTCAGCTAATATCGGTCCGTTTATTTCCAACCTTTTGGCCCAGGTAGAACCAGTATAAGTATATTAATAAACATGAGTCAGTCTGTTGGATTTTATCCGGGTTAACTAATGATTTTGTAAAGCCCAATGGCAGTTCACAATTGCACTGAGAACGCAGAATATGTTTTTAGATGTGTTTATTCTCTATTTCTCTCCATGTATATTTTGTATCTTACTGTCTTTAATATGTAATCTACTATGTTGTACACTTAAAGCATAATGGAAAGAACATGGAAATATTTTAAAATATGAAATGCTAAGAGTGTAAAGCCACAGCAGGGATAGTGGGAAACCTATTAAAATGAACAGAGGAAACAAGGAAAGAAGAAACAATCATATTCCCAGATTTTGAAATTCTTATGTTATTAAGAGAATGAATGTCTTTTAAAAAGATAAATTGATTTTGTATTTGATTTCTTGAAATCTTTCTGTAAAATCCACTAAGTGAAAAGTTCACTAAGTGAAATTTGCCAAAATATTTTAAAAGGGAAAGCCTGGTAGAATGAGCAGATTAGGACTTCATAGATTTTTAGGTCAGCAAAAGATCTATGACTATTAAAAAATACCCAGCTAATTAGTACATTTGCAATATAAAAAAATGTTTTGTAAGAAACATGGCAGGACTTATAAAACATATTCCACACACAGCAAAAATACATAGCTGATTGAAGAAGGATTACACTTTTCTCCCACATGGAGTCTTAAATACTTAGCATTTTGTCCTTAAAGAAGTAATATTCAGCTCTGCTATTTATTGGGGGGTGGGAGGGGGGACAACCTACCATTGTAACAACTGATTTGATAATTATGTAAGGGAGAAGAAAATCTTTGAAACCCGATTTCTTTTCTTTCATCTCTTTCTCTGTCTCTTTTTTGGTAAAAAGCGCTATTTTCCAGAGCATTTTATTTATTCCACTGCAGCTTTTAGAGAGTCCAGCCAATCAGAAAGTCTGTAAGGGCCCAGGCCCAGACTCAGTGCTGAGCTCCAAATGCGATTCCAGTCCTGACAGGGGGATTATAGGAAACAGATGACTTACGCTTCTAATTTGTGGCCTTAAATTGCAAACAGAATTTCAGGAGTCGAGCAGAGTAATAAATGGCAATAGAAAAAGCCACACACAGCCAAATCAGTATGTGGTGGTTGTAGGTTAAACTAAATGGGAAGAGACAGGTTATGATGGTTCAGTGTATTACAGAGAAGAAAGTCTTAAATTACCAGTGCTGAGAGGTATTGCTCCACGGCAGACAGCATTGCATTGTGCAGCCTACAGATATCCCAAGCAGAACAATAAAAACGCAGGTTTAACATAGAACCTGTTGCTGGAGGAATCATTTTTTTTTCCCCTCTTTTAGAAATGGAAGCTGTGTTTTATGTTTGTTTTGACCTCTGCTGTACGCTTGGCCCCTTAACATCTGTTTTCTACCGTTGCTGTTTTTCACACCAAATTAAATGTCGAGGAGTCAGATAAAATAAGTTCAAAATATGTCCAAATTATTTTTGTTGACTTCCAACAAATGTCTCAGTAACTCTTTTCACACGGAACGATACCATTTAAATGCCAACGTAGAAAATTATTTTCCTTTCAACATTTTAAGAGCCAAAGAAAGGAATTTCGAGGTGTACTTAAACTCGGGAAATATTGCATTGGCATTTTTGCTAACTTGTATGACTGTTGCAGACTTGCTGTAAGGCTATTTTGTCATATAAAGTTATACGCATTTGTTTGATAAAAATTCCAGGAAAATTGTTTAACAGCAGCATATAAAAGAGCCATTATTCAGAGCTGCTCAACACCACAAACATCAGAACAAACAAAAGAGATCCAAAGTGTATCATGTGGAGACCAATATGTATTTGTTTTCCTTCATAATCTCTAGATGTGTGTATTTTTGTGTGCGTGTGTGTAGGACTAAAAGTTACGGAGACAATTATACAAATTTTCACTGTCATCAGAAGTCTGGCTGTCATAAGTCTGTAGTATGAAAATAAAAAAACGGCATCACGTTTTCAACTTCTAATTCAATAAATATTTTAATAAGAGAAAACTATTTTTCTTTGAAAAGAATACCATCTTCTTTTAAGATCCGATATATCTGTATATTGGAATTTGACAACTAATTCATGATAAAGATTGATTCAAAAATAATTACCCCATCCTATATTATTTATTGCCAATATATCAAAATAATGCGTTCCTAGTGCATGACATTAACAGGGCTTGCTTTAATCCACAATGCTGTGCTTGAAGTGGGGCCAACTCGAGTCCATAGTTTTTCTTCCACTTTCCTTATGAACAGGAAATCTACCACACTACAATTCAGATTGCCTAACTACTGTATTAACTTTAAACTTGAACCTTTTGTTTCATATGCTGAAGAAACGCTGTTATCTGATGGGTAACCTGGGGAAAATTAAACTCTTTGCATTGTACTATTAAGCAAGTCTGTTGATAATCATTGAAGATGACTGACTAAATAGATTTTGATTAATCACTTGCAAAAATTATGCTTGTTAGAACCACTTTATATTCTGTGCCATGGTAATATCAATGCAGGTTCTAGCAATTTCTTTGTAGATGGTGTGGGGTTTCTTTTTGTTTTTAAATCACCTGGCAAAAAGAGAAAACAAACCTTAGTTGAAAGCTTTTGTCTCTAACAGAAAACTCTTTTCATGCCTGTCTTTTTTTTTTTTTAAAGAAATGCTCAATTATTATTTGTGTCATAGTGGGAAGGCTGGGTCTCTATAGGGCCTGAACCTTTTCAAACAGGAGATAGCTCTTGTTTTTGTACCCCATCAACAATGATCACCTAATTAAAGCTGATATCTCTGGCTGAAGCAAAATGATTTGTAATAGTTCTTTGGAGTTTACTTAATTAGTTTCGATGTCTTTTGTGAGGTAAATGTGGTGATATTTTATAAAATGGAGCTGAAAAAAGAGGAGGGAAAATGCAGCCTTGCAAGGGGTGAGGGAGAGGGGAGGCCAGAGGGAGGGCAGACCAGGATGACCAAAGCCCGAAAGCAAGGTGGAGTTCCAACGCCAGGGCTGGCGGACCAGAGCCATTCATTAGTTGAGATCATCAAGCAGATCTGACCTGGAAAAAGGCTTCCTGTCAAATGTAGGCCTGGGCATCTGTCAGGGCCTCAGATCCTACACCTTGATCAGCCCGACACTGACACCATTTTCTTTAACAAACACCAACAGCCTTTTTTCTCCTTCATTTTAACATCTCTCAGGGGTTGGATTCCCTTTCTTCTCCCGCTCTGTAGAGAGTAAAGGGAGCTTGTTAACTTGCTTAGATATTTTGATTGTGGATGCTCTTTGGCCACTTGCCTGTGGTAACAGTGTCAAAGCATAACTTGGTATAATTGCTATATTTGCAGTCAGAAAAGGGTTCTGTCTTTATGTTCTATCTGCTGAATAAAAAAGAAGTGTCATTTTGGAAAATCCTGTAAATTATCCTCAAAGTTCATGCCAAACACAATGTGTGACATACCTGGTATGTCATGTGTTCATTGCCGAGGTACAGAAGAGTAAAATAATGGGATTTTTAACTACGTCAGTAAAAAGCTGGTAAATTCCTGTGTTTCTTAAGCCAAGATTGGAGAAGAATAAAATAAAATTAAACTTAAAAATGAAAGTGGCAGACCTGGGCTCTTTGCAATTTAAAAAGAAACTGGAAAGCATTAAGATTTTTAATCATCCGTTGTGTCACAAATAAATACAGTATGGATTAAAAATGACAATTTTTGGTGGACTTTCATTTAATAGAGATGTGCATAATTTACAGACATTAGCAACACCCATTCTGGAAGTGGCAATTAAGATGGTAATAGAACTTTATCTTATTGATAGGTAATAATAGACGGCAATCTAAAACCTCATTTATTATAAATGCACTTTTAAAGTATTAGAGTTATATTCACTCTGTATTTTGTATGTTTTCAAAGAGACGTTACAGTAGGAAAAACTGTGAAATGGGATTTGTGGGTTTTTTTCCCTTAGTACATAACAATGTGAAATTTGGTGCACATTCTGCCTCTCAGCAGCCTGGGGTTCGCAGGTTCGGATCCTGGGTGGAGACATGGCACTGCTTGGCACGCCGTGCTGTGGCAGGCATCCCACGTATAAAGTAGAGGAAGATGGTCATGGATGTTAGCTCAGGGGCAGTCTTCCTCAGCAAAAAGAGAAGGACTGGCAGTAGTTAGCTCAGGGCTAATCTTCCTCAAAAAAAAAAAATAAATAAATAAAAAAGAAAGAAAGAAATTTGAGGCAAATGGTGATGAACGACAGAAAACGATGGATATCCCTTTGGCCTTTTCCATGCAAGATACACGTGTGCCCATCTTCAAGGATGATCCTTACAGAACGTGTGCCAGCTGAATATTACGTAACACTGTTAGGTACACGGCTGCCAATGCTGGCATTGCTTAGCCTGAGAAAAATGATCCTTCTAGTTAAGTAGACCCTCCCTGTGTCTCATAAACCACACAAAACTGTGTGCTGCTGGCAGGTAATGGCTTGCAATTAGAGTGGCAGGCAGGTAATGACTTGAAATCACATGCCAATTGTTTCTGAGTGTTCCCCTCCGTTTCAAAACTCTGGATGAGTGGGAAAGTCATGGGGGGCTGTAAGAATGCAAACAGAGGAAACGGGAGGGACACAACCAGGGAATCTCTTTCTGAATAGAATCTTTCCCCATTTGTTTCTTATTTTACCCCCAGGTCCTCCCTGAGCGACTCCAAAGAGGCGCTGAGAATTGGCAGGTTACTTTACCTGCCTGCTGCTCCTACTGGGCGGGATGGTGCCTATTGAGAAATTCTTTGCTGTTTTGGAATCAAACCAACCTTCTTAGTTTCAGCCTCTACACGAGAAAATTGGAATTGAGAGAGTAATGGCAGCTCAGCTTGTTTGAAAAGAAGCATGAATTACTCAAAGCCAGGTTTTACTTCCCTGTTACAACTTCTTTCTCTTTCATGAGCTTTCCCCAGCTTCATGGAGAAGAAGCATGGTGTTGAAGCAAGAAAAGCTGGGCAAGGAGCCTGTGCAAAATCAAGGCTGTACCACTTCTCAAAGGAACCCATAAATGATTTAGGCCACTGTTCACGAATGAAAATGCCTGTGGGGTCCATGTGAGTAACGTAATTGAACATACTATTGAGAGGAGGGTGGGAAGGGAGGAAGTGGTGGCCAGCTGGACAAGTTTGTGGCCTCCCTATGCTTGGGCAATGTCCATTCCGCTCAAGCCAATTGCTAGAATATGGGTACAGGGTGGCCAGATTTCCAAAATTCATCAGAGGAGCCAGAAATCTGAAATTTTATGGAAAAAGATCCCATTTTTAAAGCATTGAAACTAATTTTAAAAAATTAAAATCTTTGTGTGAGTGGAGCAAAACCAGTGGCCTGATTTCAGATCACAGGCTGTAAGTTGATGATCTCTGTTTTAAATTACATTTTTCTACTTGGTACCTTTTCTCTTTGCAATCTCGTTAGACTAGTAAAGAAGAATAAACAAAGGTGGACTTACACGTGCAAGTGTTACTTGGCTTTAAAAGTTCTCTTGTGATTGTTATGTCCAAACACTTGGAAAAGGACGTTTTAGGAAATTGCCCCACACAATGTCTGCCTGGTTTTGAGCTTTTCCTAAATGCAGAGGGCTTCCTTGGGTCAATCCTGTGGGGCTCTTTCAAGCTTAGTTTTAGAGAAGAACCTCTTTGAGCTCTGAAGACTGGTTCTAATGAGTCATTATTAAGGGGAATTGACTGACTTCTCTCAGGCCAGCAGTCTCGTAGCCTCCAAAGAACACATTTTAGGGGCTGGAAAGGCCTGGATTTCATTTGATCTGGGCTCTGCCTACTTCTATTATTGTGACCTTGGGCAAACCACTCCATCCAACTAAGCTTCCAGGTCCTCACAGTAAAATAAGAGTGAAGTACTTATCTTGTAGAACTGTGGTCAGGATTAGAGAAAAATGATTAAATTATTCCTTTCATTAATCTTTCATGTAACACAGATGAATAGATTGTGGTCGTAGAACGCAATAGCCAGATACATACTTTGCACTGGTTAAGCTTCAAATCATAAATACACTTTATATTTATTTGAGTTCAAACTCTTCTATGCTTTTCTAGAATATTTAAAGAAAATTAAGAAACTTTCTTGAGAAAATTTTCAGTTAAACAGTATCAAATAAAATCATGTTCCAACATGTAGAACACTAATGCAATTACATGTCTAGCGCAAAAAAGGTTCAGCAGTTAGAGTAAAATAAATTTATCTTTTCAATGTAAAATCTGAAGAGAGAACTTGCTTTCATTCTGGAACTTGGTCTACTGGGCAAAATGATGAGAGTTATTTTTTCAAAAGGTAGATTGTTGTTCTTTTACATACAAGTAAGAAATTATCTAGCAAATCAAGGTTAACAGAGATTAGTCATACATAGAATTTGTTAGGTTTGTGTGAGAGTGATAGCAACGTGTGGCTGGTCACTCTGAATGTGCCAAGGACTAGAAGAAAAAGAACTTGCTTAGGTGTTTTGTAGTCAGGGAACCAGATTTCGGAGGTGGTCTCAACACAATCTTAAAAACCATCATGTCTACATGTTCGATTTTCTTTCTATCCCTTACTCTATTTTTAGAAGAGAGGTTTCTAGCTATCTTACGTCAAACTGAAAAATTACTTGCTTATATGTTAGGTGGGGTTTCTTGAGCGAGGGTACTAAAGCACTAAAGTACTAAGTACTAAAAACTTTATCCTCAACTGAAAAACAAAATTGGATCTATATGAGGGCAAAGGTGCAATTGGCATTATTTGCCCTTTTTCCAAATGTTTTTTAAAATATAGTTGACTAAGCAGTTTGTGGACGCCTATCCTTTTTCTACCTGGCATCAATTTTGTGTATAGATTCTCTTTAAGAGAAAGATATCAAAATCAGTCTCACATTCAGCTACTAGCTTCCAGTTTTTAGATTTTGGTTGTTCAGTTGCATAGTAATTAAGATAAACTTCCAGTCCTAAAGTTTTTTGAAGTTTCTTTCCTCACGGTAAAAAAAAAAAAAATCAGCTAAATTGTTTAAAGATCCAGTTTAATTTAGAAAGGGCAAAACAAAATCATAGGCATAGAGAGCTATAAATATTACCCAAATGTATAAGTTGAATTACGTGGGTTATCTAAAGACAAGAGAAATTGTGTTTTTTAATGCACTATTATTTTTTTCTGAAATATCTGACTATAACTGAAAGGATTTAATACTCTACTATGCTTTTCACATAGTCTGATTCTGTAGATCCCGAGATGTTACTTGTCTTCCTCCTCTGTTTGCTTTTATGTGTGTTCATCTCAATATTAATAGGAATATTAAATGATAGACTTAGTTTTCCGTAAAATAGAACTCTAATAGAACTTAGAGAAATCCAAATACAATTATGAACAATTATGTATAAAATTGCAATACTTAGGTAGTTTATCAGCATATCAGGTAGTTGTCACCGTTTTAAGGGGAAAGAAATCACCTTAAGGTCAGATTAATTATTTTGTTAAATAACTAATATTTTCTATTCTAATTTGTGAAAACTTAAAAACTAGAAGAATTGATAGCATGCTTTAAAAAAAATTAAATCATTTACCCCCAGATTTTTATAAGTCCTTATAAGAGTTTATGCATTTTCTCGAATTTCATTATTTTCTTTTAAAAAGCCAGCTTCGGTGGGGGTGGGGTGGGAGAGAGGGCAGAGGGAGAAGGGAGCTCAAGAGGTATATACATAAATTGTCTTAATTTCTGAGAAATGTGGGTCTGACAATCACTTAAGACAATATAGTTGGTATGGCTGTCAGGACGAACTCTTTTCAAAAGAATATTTTTATAGAATATCATTGTGACACTTTGCTCAGATGGATGTCTTTAGCAGTATTTGATTAATGTAACGTAATAAAAGAGATGCTCACCAAAGTGTCCGTACATGTCTTGTTAAGTATGTTTGATTCATTATATGTGGTTCTCAGTTCTTTCCTCTTTCCGCAGTTCATTTTTTATCATTTCAATAATATATCTATAAATATGAAAAAGTTGGCACTTTCAAAGTCTTTGACATATATGGCTATTAATTCATAACTCTAAAAAATTGTATCTTTCAACCTGTCATTTTAAAGCTTGTAGAGTTTATTATAGTAAGTAACCTGTGTGAGAAATTATATTTTGAACTTTAGCGAGAAGATAAATAAGCTCTTGAACCTAAAAGTTAAAGAAAAGATACCTAGACATAGTTCTAAGACAGAATTACATGAAAAGATCAGCTGTTAAAGATTATAATTTTAACTCCCTGAAGATATCATTGAGGTTTATATTGATTACTAATTTCCAACTTATTTTGTTTTCCAACTGCAGATATCAAATATTGAGCAAGCTTGTAATTAACAAAGCTATCCAAATTCAGTTTCAGGATGATCCTGTTGCAATGGGTTAATGGGTTAAACTTCACGATTTATATATCAATGACGTAGATGGTTTTAAGCCAAGATATTCTGAAGGACAAATAATAACAGTACTTATTTATGTACATATTCTAGGTGTTATTATTTTAACAAGAGTAAGCCCTATAAGGTCGATATAATTTTACTGTCATTTTACTGATGAGGAAACTGAGGCAGAGGTAACATGTCCAAGATCACACACATGCTAAGGGGCAGAGCTGGGCTGGGTTTGGAACTCAGCAGTCTGGCTTCAGAGTTTTTGACCTCCTCTAGGAAAAGTTCAACTCGAAACATTTTCTTGATGCCTTTAGTCCTGTTTCATATCCTTTACTGGATAAGCAACAGCTTGGCCCCCTGACTCCCCATGTTCCTTTCCTTAGTTCGATTAAGAAAATAATGGCCAAACATAAGGACAGCAAGTCTAAAGTGTTCCACGTAATGAGCTCTGACTCACGGATGATTTGGGAATTTTGGGTGCCAGGCAAGCACATCATGAGTGAATAAGCCTGTGGCAGGGGCTGAGGGTGAGGCCTGAGGACATGGTTTATGTTGGAGCCTCACCGTGTTCTGGGTGACTCATGTACACTAAACAGCAGAGTCATGAACCATTTACCCACACCCAATATCAGGTTCACGCCGAGGCTGTTCTCCCACAGCCATGTTACAGCTCTCTCTAAAGAGCCCAGAACTCATTTGGCCTTTTCCCAGGAGGATCTTGAAGGAAAATTAGAGAGCAGATGGCTTTGAGGTCCTGATGGTCCTTTCCTGGGAGGACTGTTCTTCCTCTGTGCTCTGAAAGACACACAGATGGTACTTTCCTCTCTCTTGCGCTGTGTGGAAGGAATGGGTTTGGGGTCAGTTAGTTGGATGCCTAGCTCTCAGCAATGCCCTCGCCACCTCTGAGATCTTGGGCAATTCACTTGTCATTCTTGGGTATGGCTTTCTTGGAAAACTATAAAACTTATAGAATGAAATGGAAGAATTTTAATGCATTGAAAGGAAATTAACACAGAAGAAATTTTAACATTATTTTCAGCAGTCACTTAGCCAATTGCTTCAGCTCAGGAATGACCAATGCCAGAGCACTAATTAAGGATGTTAATTTTATTCAGTTTTGAGTCTGTTTAGTGTTAAGGGAGAGAAAGAGAGGGTTTAAAATGTGCACTATTAATTTTTTTTTACACAAGGCTTTTTGAAACTATAAATAAAGTTAAGGAACCTATGCAAGGACTAAAAGAGGATCAAAAGAAAAGAAGCATTCAACACTGTAGGCTGAAACACACATGGCATCTTCCAGACAGGGAGGAACCTTTTCCATCTTGCACTGCTCACAGAGTCATCCATTGTGGCTCAGCATCCTTCAAGCCTCTGAGCTCTTCTACCCTAGAAGGAACCTGACGCTGCTTATTATCAATGCTATCACAATAGCTGGCAAGAGGAGGGGGCCTTAAAAGGCTCAACTACGTTGGTTAGGACTATAGGTTTTGGGAACACATTGGCTAAAATAAATCATAAAATCATAGTTCTGAGTGAGCCTCTGTTCTGAGAGGTAGAGAATTGGAGAGGAAAGCTGTGTTTGTCATTTTAGAGTGCCCAAGTCTGGCACTTCCCTTCAGTATGTATTTTGGGCAAGTCTCCTCACTTTTCGGAGACTAACTTACCACCCCTGGGTGTTGGGGGGGCTGGACTCACAGAAAGCTAAGGCCCCATTTGAGTTTGCATGCCACTGACTCTGGACTTTTCTATATAAACACTAAGTAAACTTACAGTAACTATGGAGAAAGACTGTGTCCTTGCTGATAATTGTAAATGTCCATGATGTCAAAATGCAGGATGGTAAAAAGTGAAGTTGAAAAATGAGGAAGAGGTGTGACAGGGTGTAATCTAAATAGTTTTGAAGGGTGTGCACTTTTTAGGCTGCCTAAAGTCAAGACTGAAAAATATGTATCTTCTCCTGGCATATTTCAGAGTTGGCCAAACTACATTTTAGTTAAGAACTACATTGTCCAGAAAGAGAGAGGATAATAATTAAAGCACAGATAGCCCTGTGGCTCAGATAATCCCTTTTTCTGATGGATAAAATCCTTGGATGGTTGTTTTTTAATTGAGTCTTTAAAACAGAACGCTAGACTTGACAAAAGACCAAGAACCCTCGCAGAAGGAGGCAGAGAGGAGCAAGGGAAAGAGAAAAGATTTAAAGATTTATTATTATGATATTACATATATTATATTAATAAATTACACGAAATTTAGCATTGAAATTTATATGTTTCAAACATATAAAAAATATAATGACAAGTATAATGAATCTTCATATTCCCATTAAGATTCAACAATCAATTCTTGGCCAATCTTGTTTCATCTGTATCTTCACTTAATCTTGTTCTAATAAGAGTATTTTGAGTTAAATCCCTCACATAATCTGTAAATATTTCTAAAAGTTAAGGACTCTTTTTATTTTAAAAGGCTATTGCAATATTATTAACACGTAAAAATTTAACAAAAACTCCTTAATATTATTCAGTTGAAGTCAGGGATCGTATTTCTCCGATTGTCTCACGTATATATTTTTACAATTTGTTTGAATCTGGATCCTAATAAGGTCCATAGATAACTATTGGTGATATGAAGTCTCTTTTAATCTACAGGTGTCTTCTATCTTTCTTTCTTTTTTTTTTCTCCTTAACATCTATTTGGTCAGGAAACTGGGTCATTTTTCCTGTGCATTTTCTGATTTTAATGATTAAATTTCTGTGTTATCTTTTGACTTGTTCGTCCGTCAGTCTCTTCTGTTTCCTGTGAACTGGTAAGGGCATGATTAGATTCAGGGTTTTTTTTTTTGGCAATTCTACTTCGTAGATGTGTAGTGTATTTCTATTAGGAGGCAGATAATGTCTCCTTGCCTCCCTTTTTGTCATATTAGTAGACATTATTGATTATTCATTATAGGTTGTAATATACTAATTCATTATAGGATGCAATGTATTAATTCTATTAATATAATTCCTTTTTAACCTGGTAGCTGAAAAATTTCTTTTAAGAGAAGTCTCCTTTATTTTATTACGAATTATATGTTCAGTATTATTTGCATACGGAACTCAGGATAAATACTGGATTTAACCCTTATTTATTTACTAGTTTCAGCTTATTTTCTGGCATTCTTCAAAGAGGACTAATGACAGCTGTGTTTGTTTAAACTGTATTATTTTGAATTCATGGATTTAAAAATATTTGGATGGTGAGCTTTTAAGTCAGATGGATGTAGGTTTGAATCCTGACTTTCTGAACACTGGAAGGAATCTTTCCTCCTTTCCCCCATGATTAGTTCCCCGCCACTTTTAGCTCTCTTCTGTAGTAAGACTTTCTCTAACTTTCTTGGCCAGGTTAAAACCTCCCAAACGCACAATTTCACACTCATTTGTGTGGATGTTTTCGTACCTGACTTCTTTGCTGGGCTACAAATTGAGAGTGCCTATAAATATTTGTTTATCGAATGCTGAAAAACTTGAGCAAATTAATCTCTGTGAGCTTCAGTTTTCTCATCTATAAAATAGGGGTAATAATACTGATGCTATGATGTTATTGTGAAGATTAAATGAGACAATGCAAGGTGCATTGTCTGTGCCTGATGCAAGGCACCTGTAGGCTTTCTCAGGTGGTAGCCAGTTTTATTACTATTTCTTATCTAATGACCTCGGACACTTCACTCCTGTTGTGAATTACTTTGCTGATATCTGTCTGAAAGTATTGCCTGAGAAACAATTATGAAAAAATAATTGTCTGCTTCTGTTTATGAAATGCTAAGTCAGATGACAAATTAACAGCATTTACAGAATTCTAAAATGTCCTGAAAGGGGGAAGAGAAAGAAATAGCATTCAAGTCTCCTGCCTCTAACGTGCTGCGGGGAGACAAGGTAATAATTGAGAATGATATCAAAATAGCCGTAAAGAATTATGTGAATGAATTAAATCTGAGAAGATGGATGGAGTAGTTTAAGTCAGGGAAAGGTCTCCAGGTACATTGGATGCTAAAGGAGAGGAAGAACATACTTTGGAGGAGTCTGTGTGAGTGGAAGAGAAATTCTGCAGTTAGGACTGGTCTCATTCTCAGAAAAAGGGAAGTTGCTGCTTTAGGAAGCCTGAATAAATGTCCTCACAATACTCGCTTGACTAAAAATATCTCTTCCATTTGTTTGAGATCATTCAAATCAGTCTATCCTTATGCAAATGCTAGAACTTTAGATTTTCCCCTCTCACACCACACTTTGTCCTATCTTCATGATTTTGCTCAGGCTCGTCCTTCCTCTGGAATGCCCTTCTTGCTTTTCTTTACTTACCATTTTTATACCATGTCAGGAGTCACTTCTTTAGAATGTCTGTCATAGACCCTTACCCCAAACCACCAGGTAGGTAGGGATTTGTGTTTGAGCAAACTCAATATGCTAACAGTGTGGAGGCTGGGAGACCAATTAGAAGTATCCAGGGAATGGTGATGGCATTGTCCAGGTGCCCGACGATGAGGGCCTGAACTGAAGCCGTGCGTTTGGAGAAAAGGGGACAATGAGAAACAGATTTAGTAGGTAGAACTGAAAGTGCTTGCGTACAGCGTCTTGTTTGAGTTGGCTCCTAAGCATTCAGTACATGAGTAAATCAAAATGTTAGCCCGTTAGTGCAGTCCAGAGCTTGCGATTCCTGTATTATTTGGTGTTTAGAATTACCCCTACTTCTATTCTCTTTCATAAAGCTATGTGACCTTGACTTTTCCCCTGTGTTTTCCCAGGACGTACTGTACATATTCCCATCACTCCATTTACCGCCCTGCTTGTATCTGCTGACTTCACTGAACTATGAGCACCTAGATGGTAAGAATTCTCTTATCCATCTTCACAACCTCAGCAGTGTGCCCAGCACATATTTAGTGTTTAAGAAATAACAAATGGGTGATTGAAGTCTTATTGGGCGACTTGTACGTTTACATTTGGATAAGATATTTAGTTACCTGGAAGGAAAGATCAGGAATGAGTTAACACACGAACCTACTTTATTTATCCGATTGACCTCTTTTCAGGAGCAGGAACAGAGTGGTGGCGAGCTGGCACAGCACAGCAGGTTGATTTTGGGTGGGTAGGTAGGCAGCGCAGGCTAACTTTCAATCCTGGCAGAGATGCAGGGAAAGAGCAAAGGAAAACTGCCTCGTTTGTATTTTTCTGGTAGCATGGCCGTTGTGTGAGAGAGAGGTGGGAGAAAGTAAGAAGTGTCTAGGGAGTATTGATCGGTCTTATAGTCTTTTCTTGACTAGACTGTAGAAATTGAGCAGAGGCAAACCGTACAGAGGTTAGATGGGGGTGGGCAATTGTTGGAGACTGGGTTCTATGTAGAAATGTCCATCATAGAAATTCATAATAGTCTTCCCAGGAAAAAACCATCTATATTCGCAGGGTTTTGTATATTTGCACAGAGAACTTGCTCCTCTATCTAGGTTCTTAAAACACTCAGTTATCTGCCTAAGAGAGGTGCTTTTGACATAAACAACTATCTACCTGGTGTCAGAATTTCTCAACAGATAAGACACACTTGTGCTCAGGAAGGAACTTCTGCAGTCAAAGAGCACACTAAACTTTTACTGTGAATATGAGAAGAAAGGCATGCATCAGAATGACAGGAGCACCCGCTCTGGTGTATCTGAACCTGACATGAGGGAGGGGCTGTCGTTTTTATCAGGCATGCTGAAGGCAGCCGCTCTTGCAACATGGACTGTCTTAGATTTTACTGCTTTCTGAAATTTTTAGTACCATGGTAGAGATTAAATGAAATCCAGGATTATTGCAGACAGTGTTAGAAATGAACCATAAAATGTTGATCATTAAGAACCAGACTGATCTTGTATTTCATGGGATTTAGCACTTGTCTGTATTTATCCAATTAAATGTCTCCACCTATAACATTTGTTTTTTTCCTGGGTGGAGTGATGGCCAAGAGTAGATCTTTTTCTACGAAATTTTTTTTTCTATCATGTTTAATTATATAAAATTTCGTAGTTATTTTCCAATAGCTCTGTATTTGCTAAACAAGTTTGTTTAGATATAAAGATTTATCACTGACATTTTTGACTTCTGATTTATATGGAATCTTAAGAAATTATACTAAATAAATTTTTAAACTATACTCATTAGGCAGTCTGATAAATTCTCCTCAAAAGGAAAATAAATATTTTAAATTCTTTTTATAAATATGTCTTGGTGTTTGACAATGCCTCAGTCTTAGAGTAGTGAAAAGATTAAATAAAATGCCAGTTTGAGGCAACTTTTTATATTTGTTAATTTCTTATCCTAACAATACAGAGATAATTCCTAGGAGACCTCATTTCCCTGACAAGTCAAAGGTTTACTGTGCTTCTTATTGTTTGCTTTTTAAGTGTCAAGAACTTCTATTTATTTTTTCTTTTTTTCCCAAAGTCTATTGAACTAACCAAACAAATCTTAGTAGTATTGTTAAAGTCTTATTATTATTTCTTATAATAATTATTTCTTAAGGGCCAGCAGGAAGTCCTCCAGTATTCAACATAGTTTACAACCTCTGTGGGATGGACAATTTACAGAAGTGCCAACTGGGGTTGAAACTAGAACTGGGTTGTCCAAATGTAATGGTTCTGGCTTCCTTTGCATTATTGCAAATTTTTCTTTGTTTCCTTGTTACGGTTGAGCAGACCTCCCCCAAGATGTTTAGATGGACAACTTAAGGGAGGTGTGTTTTCGGGAAGACTTAGTGGCAACATCGGTGAAAAGTCTTAGTGAGACATGGCAAAGGTCATTGTAATGCGGCCTTGGCTCTCATAATTTCGGAGGAAGTAGGTAGGAGGTGGTGGCAGAAAGGAAAAGATACTGAGGTGTTTCTAACACGGGCACAGGAATATGTGGCAATAATAGAACGTTACTAAAGTTTTCCTCTAGAATGAGTCATTGCCAAATATAATTCGAAGCTTTGTGCAGCCCCAAGAAAATACCAATTTGTATGATTTTTATGAAGCTGCACTTTGGAAAGGTGGGCGAATTGGTTGATAGACAGTGAACAAATGCACACAGGATTCACAGTTGAAGTTGAGATTGTGGCTTGAGGTTAGCGAGGTGTGACACCAAAGTTAGTGACACATGGATGTCTTTCCAAAGGTCTGATTTGTTAAAAACAATGCTGAAATACTTTGACAGATAACTGTAAGTATTCTAGGCTTAACTGGGAGGGAAATGTTGCATTATAGTTCAAGAATAGACAATAGCCTTTCAAACCCAAATCAAGTATCTAACCACCCTAAAGAAATGAATTTTGTTGTGAAGCTGAAACAGTTACATATTATATTCTTTAACTTAATTAGCGGCAGATGTACCTTGGGTCTAATAAGCTCCATATTATTCAGTGGCAATGCTAGCATCTCCTCCATCAATGTTATCCAAATTTAATCTTTTTTTCTTTTTAAAGATTGGCACCTGCGCTAACATGTGTTGCCAATCTTTTTTTTTTTCCCTTATTCTCCCCAAAGCCCCCCACTACATAGTTGTATATTCTAGTTGTGAGTGCCTCTGGTTGTCCCATGTGGAACGCTGCCTCAACGTGGCCTGATGACCCGTGCCATGTCTGCGCCCAGGATCTGAACTTGTGAAACCCTGGGCTGCCGCAACGGAGCACACGAACTAAACCACTTGGCCACGGGGCTGGCCCCCAAATTTAATCTTAATATTATTTTACTGAATCTGTGGCAACAGCTTGTTATTTTTTCCTTTTTGTTTTGTTTTCTCTTTTTTTTTGATGGTAGCCAGGGAGTGTGGTGGGGCAGACATTCAGAAGCTTGGGGCCAGTTTGATGTATCTCCAAAGGTTAACACTTAAATAATTGTCGGAATTATAAAGAGTTCTAGGTCCTCAACTTTTCATATCCAGGAAGATTTGCTACTTTCAACAAAAATCAGAACAGAGAGACTGATAACCTATACCCATATGAATTATTTTCCTATCAGTATAAAGTATGATAAAGTGTGAAAAAAAGCAAAATTTGAGATAGTTTTGTAGGAGCTTGATAGTGTAGGTGGACGTACGTCAGATATTGTACTAATTTAGTCTAAATACTTTCACATGTAAAAAGAGAGGCAGATAGGATATTTTGTCTAAAGAGGACAGAGTTAAAATAATATTTGGAAATGACAAGTAGTCAGATATGGGCATAACGTTTCATTTTAGAGATACGTTATTGTACAGACAAATTTGGTAATAGTGTGTATTTTACTTCTAAGAATTTGGTGAGTAAAGTACTTTGCTTTTCCCCTCATGTTCTGGTAATAAGATTTCATATTCTGCGAGCATTTCACGTTTCTCAATCCTCCGAGGCTATGAAGAGTCCTCCGCCCTGACATCTCAACTTCCCCAAGATAATGCTAAAAAGAAGTCCAAATCCTGCCACAGGCACTGCCAATACCACATGGCAATCTTCATCTCTTCCCAGGGCCTTTGATTGGCTTAGTTTGCAGGAGCCCATGGAAGACTCCACCTTGTTCAGTGGGTATTTAGTAAAATTGAAACACCACTTGTCTACAGCCCATTTCAACTTTTCCATGATTCTTAGGACGGCCCTAGGCTCCATTTGGAAAACAGAAAACAAACCACAGATCTATGAAGGTCAAAGGGGAACTTAAGAAAGCAGTAGCAATTGTTAAGACATGGAAACTTCTTGTTTAAATTTCATTGGACTCATTTATATTGACTCTCAAGTAGACACTCTAATGACATAATTTTGTTGGGCACTTTATGAAGCAGAGGAAAATGTCAGGCACTGCAAAATGTATGGACAGAGTCAAAGCTGCAGTATTGGTAATTAGTTCAATAGAGTAAAACTGAGAGTTAGGTTATTTTCTGGGAATTTGAGCACAAATTTGACAAGGCAAAGAAAATGGATTGCATTCCAGTGAGAACTAGCTTAACACTTGAATTCAGAAAACTTCAGATTTCTTCCTTGTTCAGTCGTGCAAATAGAGAAGACGGTAAGAAAGAGAAGTAATTCAGAAGGAGGGCTTCAGAGAGCAAACTGAAGACTTCCATGGAAATATGCTGGGTTTTTTTATTTTTTATTTTTTTGCCACTTTTAAGCTATTGCTTTCAGTTTACTTCAATGCAGTCACTGAAGTAGCTTAGAAAGAAATCTTTGATATGCCAGATCAACCAAAAGTTTTAAAATATGCTTTTGTGCCTCCATTTATAATGCAAATAGTAAGTTGGCATTTTGGGTTCATTTCACCATTGTCTCTGAAGTGTGTTAACATATACAGAGTGAGGAAGGGAAGGGAGTCCCACAAGAGAGCACATCTTTGATAGTTCAATAATAATAAAAAAATGTATTTAGGTCTTTGCTAAATACCTTTCACCTCCTAAGAATATAAAAAATGAGAGGAAGAGATCTAAGAAGAATAAATTGTGGTTGCCCTCTATGTTAGCTGAATGACTAAAGATATTATTCTATGAATTACCCACTACTTAAATATTCCTAAGTCTAGCCTTTATGAGCTCATAAAAAAGACTCTGCTTATGTGTCCAGGAAAGCCAATATCTTTATATACTGTCAGAACAGAACTAACATGCTGTTTCAATATCAGTTGGAAAACCAGTAGATATTTCGTTATATAAAGCAAGCTGGGCAATCACCTTAAACCCACGTTTATGTTTTAGTTTTATCATACATAAACATTATCTAGCTGAAATAGTTTTAAAAAATGGTAACCTATGTTTGAGAATGATGGAAAGAGACTTGGAATTCTGGTTGCAATAGGATTGCCACTGTAGTGCTTTATTCATGAGAATCTCCAATCTTTTTTCAGATATACTAAAAAAGTCAAAATTAATTAACGTCAGAAACACAAATGAAGGTTGGCAATAATCATACATCCATGCTAGGAGGGGGGAAGACTGGGAGTCCTATATGCTGTATAAACCCCAGAGTCCACTTTCCCTTTTGAGTTCCTCTATAAAGCCTCTTATGCATTCTGAAGCTTCAGAATTTCTTCTAGGCAACTGATGTCAAAATACATTTTCTGACAAATACCCCCCAAAAATGCAACCAAGAGCAAAAATATTTCAGGAAGCTTCAGTTGAAGTGTGAGTAATAACCATTGGACAAACAGAAGTTTTGCCATCTTCTGTTTCATGATTGAGCTTCTCAAATGTAAACAATTTATAAGGAAAATAGTGAGCATGTCAGATTTGAGCAACAGAGAAAAGCTTGACAAGAAAATCAGAGTTGTGCTTTGTCGGGACAGGTAGGTAGGACACGCCTATGATTCTAAACTGTTTAGATATATTCTTGTCTTTGAAATCATCATTCCTTCCCTTCTCTCCCCTTCCCTCTTGGGCACTGGCTTGGACTTTGTTTGCCTTTGCTTAACTTGGGGACCTGAGTTCAGAACTTCTCAATACTCTCCCCATTCTCCTCTCATTCATCTCCCCCGGAGCCTTCTCCCACTTGGGCTTATTGGGTAACCATTTCCTCGCAGGTGTCTCCTCACCTCAGCATTGCTTAAGTACCTCTTATATGTGTTGCTTAATGGTTATACTTTACGGGAAAATGAGTCTCCCCGTGACCTCCTTTCTTTTGTTATCTGACTTGAATTAAGTTTTACAACTCTGATTAGAGACAAATCTTTATTTTTCGACACTGCTACTCTTTCTGCTGGCTCATTTGACACAGCTGATAGAGAAGGGATCAAATGCTGAAACTGATTAGCATATCAAGACCTGTTTGCAGGAATGATGATAAAATACCATGAGAAAACATGCTATATATACTCTGTAGTAGATGCTGTTGGTACCCTGCCTAGATCCCCTTCAGTGGCTGGTACATACTCCCCCCAGCTGCTTTGAGTGCAACTGGTAAACTCACAGCCGCCTCCTTCTCTGGAGAATTGCCCCCTGACCATGGCTGACTGGGAAGGGGGGAAGCTTGCAAAGGCCAGCCGCTTGGCCTCAACATGGACCTAAGGCTGTGGTGCAATCTGTGCTCCAGAGCGTCTCCGTGGGATCCAGTGAAGCTAGTCTCCAGCTGAGCCCGCATTCTTGCGTAGCATCCACCCCCTCTTTCTTCCCTCTCCTTCCCCTTCAAACACTCCTCCGAAAAATCACTTGAAAAAGGATTCCTTTGTCAGTCTCTGTTTCTAAGGAAACTCACCTAAAACGTACACCTTTAAAATAAAGAAAAGTCTTAGAATGAGTTAACTAAATCTTCAATATGTTAGAAACGACCAGTTTTAAGACAGACATTGATAGAATAAAGTCTTAGATTTGGAAAAACAGAAGGAAAACTTAAGAGGTTTTCAGATGTGGCAAAACTTAAGAAGCATAGAGATATTATCTTTTGCCTCATAAAAAAGAGGAAATACTTTTAAAGGAGTTGCAAATATTTAAAATGTTATTAGCCCCGAGAAATCCCGTGAGTGGGACTGCAGAGGTCTCCTAAGAAGTGACATTGTGACCAGCTTTAGAGTTTCCAAAGGAGTTTCAGGTACATGACCTCGACTCAGTCTCAGGAGAGGCATGACAGGTAGGGATAATTATTAGCCCCACTTTCTACAGGTGATGACTGAATCTCAGAGAGCTTAAATGATTTGGCCATTTTCTCACAGTTCGTAAGTACCTGGCCTATAGTTGTCTGTGTGAAACCTGAGTAAGATTTGCCGATTAATTTAAAGTACTTTCTGGTGTTTATCATAGTTGGGCTTTCATAATTCTGTTATTAAATCTATTAGTTAATTACTAATCTTAGTGGTTCACCCAATAACCTAGAGTTAATCTTGGGCGAAGTGGTCAAATTCATATTAAATGTATATATTAGTTATCGATTGATATGTAACAAATTGTCCTAAAACAGCAATTCAAAACAACAAACATTTATTATCTCACACTTTCTGTGGGTCAAGAGCTGAAGGTTGCTTCAGCGCTTCTGTCTCAGACTTCTCAAAGCTACAGTTATGGTGTCGGCCGGGGTCGTGGTCTCATTTAATGGCCTGGTTGAGGGAGGATTAGCTTCTAAGCTCCCTTGGGTAGTTGTTGGCAGGATTCAGTTCCTGGGGAGCTATTGGACTGAGGGCCCCGTTTCCTCACTAGCTGTTGTCCAGAGGCCTCCCTCAGTTCCTTGTCACATGGCCTTTCCCACAGGGCAGTTCACAATATGGCAACTCATGTCCCTCAGAGCGAGGAAGTGAGAGAGAGCAAGAAAAGACAAAGTGGAAGCTAGAGCTTTTTTGTAACTTAATCTTGGAAGTGACAGCCCATCATTTTTACTGTGTTCTCTTGGTTAGAAGTGAGTCACTAGGTCCAGCCCAGACTCAGTGGGAGGGGATTACACAAGCACATGAATATTGGGAGGCAGGAGCCATTTTAGAGGCTGCCTACCACAATTGGTACTTGGCTGTCTCATGCACGAAGCCCTGCAACTTGATCCAACCCCTTGTTCTCCCAATAGGGAAGCAGTGGATTATTTTCACTATGTTAATTTTATGGGTTTAGGCATATGTGCTTTAGTTTAATACTCTTCTCACTTGTTCTTCCTCCCACCCACTCTTCAATTTCTCTTCTCCTTTTGCTCTTCCTTTCTTGCTTCCTCTGCTCTCCTGCTTCAGTCTCTACTCACTTCTCTTTCAGACTCCGTATTTGTCTCTTTTCTCCATTCTCATCCTCTCAGCGGTCACCTTCCTTTCAGAATCCAAGTCCTCTGTATCTTTCCTGCTACCGTGGGCGTTCCTACTCCTCTCTCTGCTAATAGGGACCATGGATGACCAGCAATTTTAGATGCTGGCTTTTAAATTTCTAAATAAAGTGGTTTATTTCAGCTATCGAGTCTTGTTTTTCTCCCAAGTTCCTCTAGGAAGATGACACCATGGTGAAGTGAGACAACCTACTTTTTATAGAATATTGAAAATCCCATTGTAGAGGGAGGAGGTGGACTTTTCTATTTCTCCACGCATAATGTCAGGTCTCAATTGTGTCTAGTGTTCAGGCTTGCAGACATTTTAAATTCTTTAAAAACATAAGATGAGGGTCCGGCCCTGTGGCTGAGTGGTTAAGTTCATGTGCTTTGCTTCGGAAGCCCAGGGTTCACTGCTTTTGATCCTGGGTGGGGACCTAGCATCGCTCATCAAGCCATGCTTTGGCAGCGTCCCACATAGAGGAACTAGAATGACTTACAACTAGGATATACAACTATGTACTGGGGCTTTGGGGAGAAAAGGAAAAAAAAAAGGAGGAAGATTGGCAACAGCTGTTAGCTCAGGGCCTCTCTTCCTCACCAAAAAACCCCTCCAAAAATACCCCCAAAACCCAAAAACAAAAAAACTTGACTTGTAAAGATTGTACCGTCATGCTACTAAAAACTACTCCCTGATTGACATCTATCAAAAATAGAATATTAAACAAACAGACATAAGATGATGATGCAGGCCAAAGGACACTGTTACATCACTTATCTCAAATGATCTATTTGATTCTTGATGGCAGGGACACAAACTCTATCTCTACTCCCGGTATCTAGTGCTGTTTGAGTGAGTTAAATGAACGTGGCACTATAGCACATCTACCGTGGATTGGATAGGTTGGTTATTTCAACAACTAAATATAGGGTGGAAAAGTGGTTTTCCGAAATCTTATGTGAAATTCAGGAAAAATGTTAATAGCATCTGCATTTCTATTTTCCAGCAATTGAAGATGCTCTCAAAGAAAAGGGTCTATTTGACCCAACAGAGAGCATATTTCACACGTGAGGGTGATGTGCAGTAATTAGCTTTTTTGTTCTAGGATGACTGATAGTGATTCCACGGACTGTTTCAATATTAGGCAAAGATTCTTGGGGCAAAACATGATGAGAATATGTTCAACTCAATGACATGTATGCTAAGCCTATTGGCACATAACAACCAATTTCATTGCATGACCTACCGCCTAGAAACATCAAAAGTAGACGTCAAATCATTTGGAGAACAGTTGTTTAGTGAGTTAGAATGAATGAAGTCTTTAGTGAGTGCTGGCATCAAATTCCGTCCTAGTTTGTTGCTTGTCATGCCCTATTCTCCATCTGGGATGCCCAAGGCACTCTTTTTCAGGACACTTGACCTACCAGTCATATTTCAGAAACTACTGATTTGGTGCTGGCTGACGGAATTTAGACTCCGAGGAGTCCGGCTGCTGGATTACATACAGACTAATGACCCATCAGATGCTAAAGGCAAAAGCTTAAAGTGCACTAGTGAATTAAACCACAGCATTGTCGGAAAGGAAGAATTTATTATGTCATTAAACCTAACTCAATAAGTTTTGCTTCTTTAGATGCACTGCACTGAGGGAAAAGTAAGAAATTAATTTTAAACAAGTGTTATCATTTTTCTTCCACTTTCCCAGGTAAAACATATTCACATGAAATTAAGAGATGGAGTATTTCATTGAGATTAAAAGAAAGCCATTAAAAGGAATGATAAATTGTGAAAACCGGGTGTGACTGCCTAGCCAGACATGTACTTCCAAGATCAGAGACTACGTGCTTCAGTTCATAAACACAGAGGAAAACCGGCTGGCCTAATTTAATGGTGCCCTGGGTGAAGTTTTCAGGGCTTTGCAGGAAATCTCAGAGGCTCATTGATACAAAGAAGTCAGCAAGAATCATGACCGATACTGAGTTTAATGTGAGAGTTAGGGCACAAAATGAAAACCAAAATGGAGGTTTTCGGTTCAAAGAAGAATTACGAAGATATAAAGAAAATTCTCATAATTTAAAGATTACTATAAAACATAAACGGTAAGATATTTGGTGGTGAGTCCTTCTGTATATACCTTATGGTTGCTTTAGAGCAACAGATGATATGTTTATAAAGATAACTTGAAGACGGCTGAGGTGATTGCTGAGTGTTTATACCTCTCGTCATTTATCAATCAAAAGAATCCCAGGGGCTCTAAAATGAATTTCAGGATTATAGAGGTTAAAAAAAATTAGACTTATCATCATATCTATAACGCCAGTTCTAATAATGGACAGACTTCTATTATTTGTATTCCAGGTAATAAAATATATTTTCTATTAGGGGTTATTATGTAGTAGGATAAAAGAAAGAGTTTAAATCCTCAAAGAAGAGATTCTAGTCATTCTTGTAACTGAATAAATTCCACCGCAGATGGCTTATGTCAAATCAAAGAAAAAAAATACTCCAAGGATGGTCTGGTCCAAGGGACTAAACATTGTAATTTCCTTAAAATTCGTTCCTATCACAGGATATGCAATATTCTGTGCTTAAGATAAACATAGGAATAATAACCAATGGTGCACTTTTTTTCTTTTATTCATTCACTACTAAAGATGATGGCTTTAGATTTTTTTTTTTTCTTTTCCTGTGGAAGATTCGCCCGAGCTAATATCAGTTGCCAATCTTCCTCTTTTTGCTTGAGGAAGATTCTCCTTGAACTAACATCTGTGCCTGTCTTCCTCTATTTTGTATGTGGGTGGCTGCCTCAGCATGGCTGCGGACGAGTGGTGTAGGTCTTCGTCCAGGAACTGAACCTGGGCTGCCAAAGTGGCGCGCACTGATCTTAACACTAGGCCACAGGGCCAGCCCCCTAGAAATTTACTTAAAAGTGGGGTTTTAAAGCCAATCTGATTTGGAATTTTCCTTTTCCTTCCTTTCTTCTTTCCTCCCTCTCTCTCCTTTCTTCCCTCTCTTTCTCTTTCATGCAGGAATCACAAGATATATTTTGATTTTATTCCTGAAATTATTTTTATCTTGGACTGTTACCTGGAATAACAGACAAGAAATCCCCCCTTCTAGTTATTCAATATGCTTAGTAATGCAAAGAATTTTTTTTTTGAGAATAGCTTTCCTCCCTATGGTGGTCCCAAATTTCAAGGTAAGACACACCTTGGCAGGAAAGGAAAGCTGAGATGGAAAATTCATCTGCCCTTTGTGGAGCTTGCAATTTTCCCAGAAGCGTCCCACTCCACAATTCTGGGATGAGTATCTGGCCTGGTTCCTCTGTCAATTGCTTCTTTGCCAAGAATGGAAGGCTATAAAGAAAGGAATGTTACAGACCAACATCACCACAGCTGTCCATAGAGATTTCCTAAAGAAGCATTTTGTGCCCATTAGTGAAGTGTCAGAAAGGAAACCAATTTCCAATCACAAATACCATTTTAAACATCTCTCATGTATTAGTGAAACAAAGTTTTTGCCTGTGTCTATAAAACTGTGGTCTTTATACCAACTTCATGAGTTATCATGTGGGTTAATTGAGTAAATGGATACAAGCTCCTAGAACAGTGCATGGACTATAGAAAGACATTCCATATTTAATGCCTCGCAAATTTTAATGTTCCTAAGAATCATCTGGGGATCTTATTAAAATGCAGAGACTGACTCAGTACATCTGAGATGGCCTCAGAGATTCTGCATTTCTAACAAGCACTCAGGTGATGTTGGTGCAGCTAATCCACAGACCACACTTTGAGCAGCAAAGATTTAAGTAGTGATTTATCTAATTGTTTGGTTATGACTGTGACTGTAGAGTCTATGAGGTCTTAGTCCTGACTGGTCATGGTTGTCTTTTAATGATGATCTAGAAGCCTATGAGAGAGGAGTTACCCAATATTATTTTATATGTGTTTCTTCCCACAAACTCTCTTGAAATATGAAGGATTATATAATGCATCATAGGAAGAACTGTAATGTGTAATCCATAATCTAAAGTCTAATCCATAATCCCACCGACTCTCCAGGTGATTCCCATTTATACTTTGGCAATCTTTAAGACATTTGGGAGAAATGGGTGATCTGGGGGAGCAAAAATTTGTTTTGTAAATTCAAAAAATATTTCTGGTTTAGACTAAAAAAAGTTTTCATGATGAAGCCCACCTTATACATCTCTGGGAAGTCTCTTAAAGGTTTCCCTTTAGGGAAGGTATTTAGTGAGATCCAGGTGCTCGCCATGATCAACAGGTTGCCGTGGGAGCATTCGCTGCACCGTTACTCATCCGGTTATGAGGTTTAACCTACCGACCAATGTTGCCCGTACTATCATTTCAGGTATGTGATTGTGAACATTATGAATAGACCTTTTCTCTCTCCAGGATCTTCATCTATTTTTCTGACCGTGTTACACATGTTCCTAGATATCAGTAGGATCTTGTCTTCCTGACTTAGTCTCTTTTCTGGTAGTGTATTTTGTCTTTTACTTGATTCTGTTTCGCCCCAGCTTGATTGTACTGGTTGCTGATATAGGGCCAACCTAATTTGGAGAAGCAAATCAAAGAAAATTTGTGAAATAATAGTATTTATTTATCTGATTCTGAGTCTCCAATGATCAACGAATATAAAGAAAATCCAGTTGAGAATTAAGATTTTGAAATGATCACCTTCTAGAAACAGAAACTAGCATTGCTAAAACAAAGAGAAAAAAAAAATCCCAACAGCTCTACTACCTTATTTTTGGATTTTTCTTAAATTTCCTTTAGATATGGTATTTTATGTCCAATCCCTCCTGCCAGGTAACTAGTTCAAATTATTATGATAAAGATATAGATTTTGCTCTTACATGTGTATTTTGTACTATGGTGATAGTTCGCCTATTCAGGGATGTGGGTCAAATATATTCAGAAGATTGTCATGAATAAAGACTCTTTACAATTTATATATATCATGAATGTAATAAACTCATGTGCCTCATTCATTGGCAATAGCCATAGACCCTCACTTATGACCAGGTTAGTTTTCTAGCTCCGGTATCTTGTTTCCTGGCTAACATTATATTAGCAGCAAAAAGGTAGAAGGGATGAGAGATAGCTGTAAGAGTAGCATGGCAATCTATGGAAAGGGAGAAGATTAAAAAAGGGTCCACAAAATCAGATACAAAAATGGAAAAAGAAATTGCAATCTGCACTATTTTCTCTGAGGGCAAACAGCCGTCTAGATTGTAAGAGCTGTGTTACAACCCAGTTCAGTCATAAACGGCCGTAATGGTGGTCTGCAGTAATCAAGAAAGGTTAAACTTGTCTTTGGTTTGCTCTGTCTCAGAAAACCAGAACATTTATAACACAATTTAAGAAGATTTCAGTGAAAATGATTTTTAAAATTTGATAACAAGGTTTTATTTCTTAAAGAAATATACCTTTTCTGTGATTATGGCAGATAAATCAAGCATTAATTTAATTCCAATTTGGATTTCTTTTCAATCTTAAAATGGATTCTGAGTGAGAAGGGGGGGGTTCAAAGTTTTAATTTCACAGGTGTTTTAACTTTTTATTTATAGTCAAACTTTGTGTGGAAGAGTAAAACTTATTCCTGTCCTGGGAAATGAAGTAAAATGGAATCCAGGAGTAATTCTGACTAAAAGTCTGAGTTTACGAACTTCCAGTGCTGCAAAACTGACAATCTGTGAGTTAATCTTTATTCTGCACCTTCATACTTTCAGGTGAGAAGTATTACACAAATACCAAGCGCTGTAAACCCTGTGGAATTCTCAGTCCTTACAACTACTAACAGCAAGCTGCTCGGTGGCTTATTAGGGAAGGTGTTCCTCTTGCAGGACCACAACAGGTCTGATTTAGGCTGGTGTCTGAATTCATTAGTAAAATCACAGCTCTCACCTGTTTTCTTTCTCACATTCTTTCTGAATTTTAGTATGACCGATGACGTAGGCTATTTTTTAGCCTAAAATATTTTGGCAGACACTTTTTGTCTGAATACCCAGAGTGAAAAATGCATTTGAAGTCATAGCAGATGAATTCTGCATAGAGACTATATACCACCTGATATTACACGAAACTTGAGGTTTTGCCTTGACTTTGGTGCCGGACTCTAGTGGTAGCTGTCTCTAGGATGAGGGTCTCTCAGGTGTGCAATATACCTTTCCTTAACTGTCAAGCACAGGCAAGGAAAGGCAGCTCAGAAGGGTCTTCACTAGCTGG